GAGATTTTTTTGGGTCGACAATTAAATCTGCTTTAATTTTCATTATAAAATGTGTACCCTTAACATTTTGAGACACCAGTTTTAAGGCACCTCGTATAGTTCACATTCAGCTTCCAGGCTTAATTTTCCTCTATGAGGTATTATCTCTAATCTCTAGCTTACCTTTTTTGTGAAAAGTGGTTTGATTGCGTTGCCACAGAATTACAAAGTTAATTTTCTTTAGTTATCTGATCATTTAAAAAAAAAGAAATCAATACTACGAATGGTTATCAGCGCTGTGTTCGATTATTTAAATGTAAGGACACGACAATTAGATGATAGATTATTATTTGAAATATATTATTATTATTGATATCATAGATTAGATGGAAAAAAACAACAGAAATACAAATAAATGAATAACAGAGCGAAAATATTTAATTTGGTACAGAAGAATTCGACTCTTAACTTGATAGTAATATTTTGTGAACGGTCGGTGTTCCAAGATATAAAAATTATGTATGGAACTATTTTTAAATGTTGTCGCCAAATTTCCAGCTTTCTTTTTCATTTCATCAGAAAATCGAAATTAATTCATCCTTTTGAAGTTTCCCGTGTGAAATCAAAGAAAAATACATCAGACCATAGCTTGGACGCCTAACGTTAATAAATCGATTTAAATAAAGGAGTGGCCAAAATAGGATGGCACATCTCGTATATTAAAACGTTACATGAAAGTTAACACGGTCCCTGCTGGTTACTTAAAATTCAATTCCAATTTTCTATTGTTTCATTTCCCTTGTTTCCAGCTTGAAATGAAGTGCGGCGTAAGATATATTGTGAAATTAAGTCTTGAATATGGGAACCAAATTATATTTCTGGTTTATTTTTAGGCATCTCTTGGATCAATTATCATTGAAACAGTTTTTCAAGGACGTGCTCTCGGGATAACCGGTTAATTTATTGAGTAAAAATTTAACACTAGGTAGAATGTTCTGTAATTCTGGACCTTTTCTTCGGTAAAACAACTAAAAATACAAATCAGGATTCGCTTTTGAGACATAAAATTCAACCATATAATAAATTATCTAGTACCTAAACTTTCTTTACAAATCTAGTTACTTGCCATTCAAACTGGTGAGTTTTCATCTTCAGAGGTGGTGTACTGAGCAAACCACTTCTGAAAATACAAGCCACTCGTGCTTGTGAAACGTCAGAAATAAATTATTTTCCACGGCGGCCTAAAATCCCAAAAAACTCACCAGGTTAACACTTTCGAACAATGGGCGCAAAAGTCTAACTCTTTTGACCACATGTTATTGTGGCTAAAAAGTTGACTGACTGTTTAGTTGCTTTTCTGTAAAAAAAATCCAAAATTGAAATTACCAAGTAGTGTTTTTTTATAAACACAATTAACCAGTTGCCTCGTATCAAATGTAATTAATCGAAAATGTGCCTAGTTTGGTTAGCAACAAACCATTAATGTTTTATTTAAATTGGCTGAGGCGGTTGTTACATATAGTAATGAGAAAAAATGCTCGTCTTTATGTCCCCTATCACCTATAAAAAGTATGTCGGAATCACTTTTTATACAGCCAACATCAAATATACGGATCATAATTTGTGGCATCTTTAATAATTTGGTTTGCATAATTAACTCGATTAATGATTAATATTAGTGAGTATTCATCCCTTATGTAAGCGGATGTCCTAAAAATAATTCAGAAATTTAACCCTATCAACATCCCGGCGATTAAGAAGGACCTTGAAATGTTTGCAAAACATTTTATAATTCGCTTCTTTGTCTCTTTCGAGCTTGACGAATGTGATAAATTTTTCTTTGTATTTTGCAAAACATGTAAGTGAAAATTTTCTATTAACACTGAAAGATCAACTATAATTTTTAATGTCCCATGCAGTTAACCCTCAGTATGTGTACTTACGTGCGTATACTAACAAGTAATAATTATTATTTGGAAGTGAATACTGCATTAGCGATAGTTGTTGAATGCCTTTATATAAAATATACAAAACCGTTCATATTGTAAAACAAACCTCATGGATAATTGAATCTACAGCTGTTTAATCGATCCTAAAGAAACTAAGGCAGAAATTGGTGAAACTTAAAAACTAATTGAAGGTGGTGATTAGCATCGACGAAAAAAGAATGAACTCTAAGACTCAGCTTTATGAATACATACTTTTTAAAACATATAACGAATCAACGACATAACTTTGTAATAAATTTCTAAGTTACACTCACACAATGTAACATGAAATGTGAATTATGAATCTAAATTAAGGCTAATGAGGGCATTCATTTAAATGTGATAATAATTTTATTGAATACATACAGATGTTTTCCATCAAACGAGAACGATTGGTGGTTTTGTTTAGGGCTTAGCACTTTAGAATTTGAGTTTACATTGAAGGACTAACCAAAGTCAAAGTCGCGGGCATTCACACCCTCTTAGAAACGTGCGCAGAACCCCTTACCAACGCATCTGCGCGGCGCTGTGCCATCGCTACAGAGCATCTGCTTTATTCTAATGTACAGGGTGTTGGTAAATAAGCGCGACAAATTTCGGGGGGTGATTCTGCATGAAAAAATAATGACAGTTTGCTATGATTCGTATGTCCACAAATGATTCGATTTCCCAGATACGGTGCGTTAAAGTTTTTTTTTAAACTGACGATGTTGTTTTTTGCGTGGGGTCATTTTGAACATTTGTTGTAGCTTTGCGGGTATTAAAAATTGAATTACTATTATTTTCTGTTGTTCTGGTTTACTGTTATTCTATTGATAGTTTTTGTAGTATTGATGTATTAAAGAAATAAATACGCGTTGACCTGTTTTTCACCAAAATGAAAAAAAGGCAAGAGAGGTTTTTCTCGACCGCAATATTCCGTTCAAAGCAATATGACATCGTCAGTTTTTAAGAAAAACTTTAATCGTAGGCAAGCTGTCATTACTTTTCCATGTAGTTTCAGTCCCCCTGAAATTTAATGCGCTTATTTACTGTATAGCTTAACATCCTGTATAGCTTCAGTATATTTTGTACGGGATGTATGTAGAAACTGACGAAAATAATGTAAGAAAATACGAAAACATTAATGGAGATATATATTTATTATTAATAGATTAATATATATACAGGGTTGCTCATTAGTGCGTCAAAGTGCGATATCTCAGTAAATATGAAGTTTACAAGAAAATTCGTCCAACGAAAGTTTTTCACGTTTAAAAGGTCCACATTTTAAAATTGCTTTCCAATATACAGGGTGCATCATAAACGTGTGGTAGTTACCAACTCTGGTTTTTTAAATAAAACCCCCCCTTTTTTTTGTTATTTTC